TGCATCATGTATTTTCCTGATACATTTTCTTCAAGTGCATGTAACCTTATTTATTTCCTAAGATTACAAATTAATGCCACATTTAACAGAACCAGAGGGAGAAAAAGAATTCGCGACAGAAGTAAATGCAATTGGGAGGACTCATCACAAGAACTTAGTCAATCTTCTTGGATATTGTCATGAAGGAGAAAATCGTCTCTTGGTTTATGAATGCATGAGTAATGGATCTTTAGCTAGCCTACTTTTTGGGATATCCAGACCTCATCGGAACCAAAGGGTGCAAATCATATGCGGTATTGCAAGAGGTCTGACGTACTTACACGAAGAATGCAGCACGCAGATAATTCACTGTGACGTGAAGCCTCAAAATATACTTTTGGACGACTTCTTGACGCCAAAGATTTCTGACTTTGGATTGGCAAAACTTTTGTTGGCTGAGCAAAGTCAAGCAGCACTAACAAACATTAGAGGGACGGTAGGTTACTTTGCCCCTGAATGGTTTAGGAAAGCATCTATCACTGTAAAAGTCGATGTTTATAGCTTTGGAGTGATGTTACTTGAGATCATTTGCTGCAAGTCGAGTGTCGAATTTGCAATGGGAGAAGAAGAGGAGGCTCTAATAGATTGGGCCTACGACTGCTACAGCAAAAAGAAACTAAATAAAATGGTGGAAAATGATGAAGAAGCAAGGAATGACATGAAAAATGTAGAAAGGCTAGTGATGGTGGCAATTTGGTGCATTCAAGAGGATCCGTCAATATGGCCCTCCATGAAAAGAATTACACAGATGCTTGAGGGAGTTGCTGAAATTCCTGTCCCTCCTCGTCCTTCAGTATTTAGTTCGTCTTAAATTATTAGTCTTGATTTCGTTTGAACGGTAACTGAGATATAATTCTCACTGTTGGTGGTAAAGTAATGCATCATTAGAATTCCTGCTTTCAAATTTTTATGTTTACGCAAGTATCTTCTTGTAATTCTTTGTGATATTTTACTCTATATGGTAGCCTTATTAATTTTCAGCGAAGAACTTTGAGATAACTTGAGAGTTCAAAAAAAAAAAAAGGGATAAAACGACAACGATCTATTCAATATCCTATTTTGCTTGTAAGTTGGCAGCGAAAGATAAGCTGAAACAAATTGGTCAATATTTTTCTCTTTTTTTAAGGGATAATTTCGTGCTTCTTGTACGCATGGCAATCCACGACGAGGAAAACTAATGACACCCTAAATTTCGAGTATCATACACAACTCATGATACTGTGTCGACGTTAATTTTAAGGTCATGAACACATAGGTATTTAAGACCAAAACAGATTCAAGAGTAATATTGAGAGACACTCCAACAAAAAGACTTAGGGCATCTCCAATGGTTGCACCATTTTTGTGCAAAGTGTAGAATGTCTCTTTTACCCTTATATAATATTTCCCAAATAAATTTGTTAAGAGAATTTATGTCATTTGTGCTATATATTTTTTAATACAATAAATTATTATTATTATTTACATTTGAAATAAATTTTAAAAGTAAGACATAATAATTAATAAATTAATTAAAAGACGAAAACAATTTAAAATACAACAAACATGATTATTTATTAAAGTTAACACGAAATGACACGATTCGTCTCGAATTACCCTAGTGGACCCGAAACGTGGTGTGCGCCGTTGATAGATATTGACTAGATGTTATATCAATCACCAAGGCTCACTATGAGTTACTACATGATATGTAATAAAATCATATGTTTATAAAAATATAGTGCAATGGGCCCAAAACTTTACTTCGTGGTTTAATCAAATTGACTCATATCCTTCAACATGTCGGGTGGCTCTAACTTTGAAATCATCAAGCTCCTCAAGCTATCAAGTACCAATATAACTTGTAAAAATAATTTTAAAAAAATATGAGTTGATAGCTCAATGAGTGGAAGCCTTAAAAAATAATCATACTTTCTCCTTTAAACATTTTTATCAAATGTTAAGTTCATATCATTAAATACTTCACATGATAGCCTCATACAATTATAGACAAAAAATGAGATATTCTCATAACACTGTAAATATCATTTTATAATCACGATATAGTCATCAGCTGATATCTATAACAACATCTCATCACATCACATATGATCCACCTTAAATGTACCCTCTGACTAAAATATGTAATCCACCCATCGGGTTGAGCACTTTCGCCACAGGCCTTTGGCCCCCTCCGTAAACGAAAGCGGGTCTCATGACCTCTGGTATTAATTCTAGAACACGGTCAAGGCTCCTCGGTGAACTATATGTACACGGTCACGACCCCTTCATCCCCAGTCGACTCCTCAGTGTAGTATAGAACTCGGTCAAGACCTCTCAGTGAACTAGAAGAAATATATAATCACGGGTACTTTTCTGTTCGACCTCAAAATCACATTTCATATTCCAATTCACAATGTACCGTATACAATCTTTGAAATCTCACATGTATTATAATAAAAGATATTTCCATAATAACAATATAATTCGAACACATAATTGTACATACTTTAATAATATACTTAATTCATAAATGTTTTAAAAATATTTATATTTTTTCACTCACAAACCTATATTCGCAAAATCAACTCAGTTGATAAGCTGTCTCGATGTTCGTATTGCCGCCTGAAATATGATATAATTTTTAAATCAATAATTAATTATTTTAAGTAATTTCAATAATTAAATAGGTGATACTCAAACTTAATCATTTCACGTTTAAGTGATTTCTAAAGTCTTTTTAATCAATAAAACTAGTTTTTCTTTCATTTTACTCAATTTCATAGTTTATTATACTTAACGCCTTCAATAAAATTTAATTTAATCTAACAACTATAAAATCAAACATAACCTTTCAATAAGTAACTTTTTACTTACCTTTAACTTCGAAGAATTCCGGCCTAATAGTAGAAGAACTTATTTCTAATATGTAGCCGATTTTTTTATTTTTATTTTTTATTTTTTGCTTCTTCTTTCCTTTTTTTTTCCTTCTTTCTTTCTCTTTCTTGCTCCTTGTTCTCGTTTCTTTGTGTGTAGTGTGTGTCATTAAATGAAATTAGAACTTGGTGGATAGATATAAATCAATCCACCGCCTCCCTACATTTTTTTTTTGTTTTTTTAATTCTTTTTTTTGTATGACATGTTTGACTTTTCCTCCTTTTTTTTCTTTTCTTTTAATTAAATTGATTTATTACACGAAATATATTAAACAATGACATACATACGATAATCTAATTTTTTATTTTTTTAAAAAGGATACATAAAAAATGCATAGTTCAGTAATCTGGAAGATCGCCTCCAAATCCGCCAAAATACTTAAAATAATTTCCAAATAACCCAGATGAACTTTCAGACCCTTTATCTTGTTGTTGAGATCTGTTTTGGCAAATTCTTGCTTGTTCGTTTTGCAAGCACAAACGTACATATGGATCTGTTATCGAGCTCAAATCTGTCAACAAAATTTTATTCTCCTCGCGATATTCTGTCATTGCCAATTTTCTTTTTTGGATATCGTAATTCTATTGTCTTCCCTCACTACCTTGTTTCATAATTTCGAGAATTTGTCAATTCTTTTCTTGAATGGGTGAAAGTAATTTTATACCTTCTTTTCCAATTTTCATTTTTCCTTTTACTTATTTTTACCCCTATAGGTTGTTGAGTAGAAGTATCGTCAATATTGTCTTCGTTTATATTAAGAGAAAATGAGGACAATCTAGGAGATATTGAAATAGCTGACTTGTAGTCCTCCGATGACGAATCTGACTGTGACGATGCAATGTTAACATGGCCTTGCCTATGGCAAATTGCTTTGGCCGTGTTAACGTCATCTCCAAATTTTTTAGTATTTTTAAGCATAGGCCAAACATGATCAAATTTGAACCCTTTCTTGTCATTTAGGTCTTCAGATAATAGCATTTTGGTTTGAAACATCTACGAAACAAAGACAATGTAACATTAATCTAACAGAAACTTAACATTGGGAAGCATACATTATGAGTAATACTCACAATATCTTCCTCTGATGCACCACTTGGTTTCAGAAGTTCGACTTGCCGAACACGTTCTTGCATTTTGCTAATGGTGGCATTAATAACTTGCATTCATTTCATTAGAGATCTTTTCGGCCGAGTAAGAGTGATAAATGAAAGAAGTGTGGTATTATATCCATTCTCCACTCGGGACTAGAATTGCTCCCTTGATTGGCATATACCTACAATTGGATCTTGGGAGATATCAAGTTAGACTTGACCTGAGTGTACATCTTCTTCATGTGAGTATGAAGAAGTTCGTAGAATAGAACTCATTTTTTAGGGGGGTTATTGAGAAGGGTAGATGATATTAACTTGGGAAGTTTGAGAAATTGAAGGTAATGGTAAGCTAATTTATAGAGAAAAGGGTAGGCTGGATAAGATTTGATAATATACGGATCTAATGGTTGATATCTTGACGTAATCCAATCCAACGACGGAGATGAATTTCCCTAGATATCCTATCTTCAATAGTGTACTATGAGATTTGATACTATATACGGATTGAACGGTTGAGATCTTGTCGTAATCCAATCTAACGATGGAGATGAATTTGCCTAGATATCCTATTTTCAATAGTGTACTATGAGATTTGATATTACATATGGATTGAACGGTTGAGATCTTGATGTAATCCAATCTAACGATGGAGATGAATTTGCCTAGATATCCTATCTTCAATAGTGTACTATGAGATTTGATACTATATACGGATTGAACGGTTGAGATCTTGTCGTAATCCAATCTAATGATGGAGATGAATTTGCCTAGATATCCTATTTTCAATAGTGTACTATGAGATTTGATATTACATATGGATTGAACGGTTGAGATCTTGACGTAATCCAATCTAACGATGGAGATGAATTTGCCTAGATATCCTATCTTCAATAGTGTACTATGAGATTTGATATTACATATGGATTGAACGGTTGAGATATTTACGTAATCGAATCCAATGATGGAGATGAATTTGCCTAGATATCCTATCTAACGGTGGACCAGGTATTCTGCAACAATAAAAGGCAGTATTGAGGTCGAGCAATCCTCATCCCTCAATCCTACTACTCAAAAATGAATTTCAATATTGGAGGTCCCTTTTATATGTCTGATTCAAATTCATCGTCATTGTTCGATGGAGAAAATGATAATGATTTTCTTGAAGAACGACAACAAGCTATTACTCGAATATGTTCGAATAAAAACCTACTCATAGTTCAGTATGCTACTCAACGTGTTTACTAAAGGCCACATGGAGGCTCCATTCAGGATCATAAAACCATCGATTGTGATCGACAAATGGATGATATAAATCTCTTCAACGACTACTTTGTTGAAAACCTACGTTTCGATTAACATATGTTCCATCGACGATTTCGAATGTCTCGACGTTTATTTGGTCGAATACTAATGGTGGTGGAAGGTCATGACAATTATTTTGTGCCGAAACGAGATGGGATAGGTAGACTCGAATTCTCTAGTCATCAAAAGGTAACGATAGTGTTTCATATGGCATGTCAGCAGATGCTACTGATGAGTATATTAAAATAGATAAATCTACCGTCATTGAAAGTTTGAAGAGATTTTGTTGTGCCGTTATCGAAATATTTGTTGAGCAATATCTAAGATCGCCTTCTGTGAATGACATTGAGAGACGACTCCATGTTAATAAACAACGTGGTTTTCCCGGAATGTTGGGCAGTCTAGATTGTATGCATTGGAAATGGAAAAATTGTCCAACTACATGGGCAGGACAGTATGGAGGTCATAGTGGATCCCCAACTATTATCCTCAAAGTTGTAGCTGATTATGATCTTTGGATATGGCATACATACTTTGGACTTCCTGGTTTGAATAAGGATATTAACGTTTTGAAGAGATCTCATCTTTTCGTAAACCTCACTCAATGTATTGCTCCTCCGACTCAATACGTCATTCAAGGAAGACAATATAACATGGGTTACTATCTAGCTGATAGTATATACCTAAAATGGTCTACCATTGTGCAAAAAATTCATGAGCCGTGTGGTCCTAAAAAAAATTATTTGCAATGAAATAAGAAGCATGTAAAAAAGATGTTGAACGTGCATTTGGTGTTCTACAATCAAAATTTGCAATAATGAAAAGAACCGCAAGGTTTTGAGAAAAACAAGTATTGCATGATATCATGACTGCATGCATAATAATGCATAACATGATTATCGAATATAAATGTAATGTTGATGCACCAGTTTAAGAATGGACGGAAGCGCCAAGTCCATAAGTTGAGTTGGTTGAAGAGGAAAATTGACATTTTCAGGAATTCCTTGCTCATCATAACAAATCAAGGATTAAGAAACTTATTTTGTACTTCGAATTGCATTAATCGATAATTTGTGGGATGAACATATGAATTTCGAGAATTAAATTGCAAAAATTTTGCGACTTCGTAATATTCTCTATCCAAATTCGAAATGTATTGTACTATTTTCTAATGGCATGATTTCATATTTTCGTTGTTGTAGTGTTTTTATTAATTGTTCTATTTTTTTTTATATTTATTAATGAGTTTGATCTTTTTTTTGTAATTTAACGTAATTATTTATTTAGTAATTTATGTATTTATAAAATAATTAAATAAATAATATTTCAAATAAATAAATTATAAAGAATAAAAAAGGGAAGAAAATGGTTAAACACTGTTCATTTGATATAACTTTTGGAGTAATAATTGGAGATTAATTTTAGTTTAGTGCAAAATTTGGTGTAGTTGGTCACCATTTTTTTCCAAATTTTAATGTCTTTGGAAGAATGTGTGGTCGAAAAAGAATGAAAAATTTTCAATTTATGTGTAATATTATTTTATAAAAGATTGTATGGTTGAAAATAAAAAAAAAAATTGAAAGAGAATAGAGGCTAAACGGGGACTAAATTATTCTCAGAATTTTTGTTGATGTGACTTCTAAAAGGGTGGTAATTATGCCACATACCTTATTTTTAATAAATATTTAGACTATACTTTGTAACAAATTTTTTTTCGATAAATCCTGCAAATCATAGTAAAAATAAAAAGTAAAACATGATAACTAAATCAAAAAGGATAATAATTTAGATTACTTTATTTACTCCAACACACACACCCTTATAGTAATTTATTAATTAATCTAAAAATTCCTAAAATTTTGTCAATTCATCTTCTTCCCAAATCTTCTCCATTAAGAATCGTCTTCTTCCCAAAATCCCCTAAAACATCTTTCACAAATTGATCTTCATACAAGTTGTAATCATTAGTAATATTGTGCAAAGATTACAAAACACGTTATTTTCACGAATTGTTTACTGCCCAAACATGAAGACATATTACAAGACCAAATTCTGTCCATCAATTTCTAAAATTGATTACAAGAATTGCAAACATTCAAACCACACAGTCTTACTTAAAAAGATATTAATTTTTTCAATGACAATTTATATATATAACAAATGCAAAAATTTGAAAAATCTGTGAATGAAATATAACTTGTTGAAAAACATATATAGTACTGTGACATTATTAAGAGATTTCGATTTCAAATTTCAAAATATTTTATCCAGATTCTGCTAGTTCTCACTTCCGGTTGAACGAATAAACTATGGTGTGTTTAAGCTATGGATGCCATGGATATTCTTTACCCATCCTCACTTTTTTGAATTTCATTTCTTCTTGGAAAAGACATTAAATGTGAGGCGTGAAGTGTGCATCATTCAAAAGATTTCAATTACAAGTTGTTATTTGGGTTCTATTATTAGAAGTTAGTATTTTTATTGTATTTCAAATAAAAAAAAATATATATTTTTTAGTTATTTAAACATTACATAGTAAAACATGAAATAATATCTTGTAATAATGCATCTACGAATTTTTCTCTTTTGCTATTCGTTCAAGGCCACATGGGCCTAGACGAATAGGGGGCTCCCAATAGGAGTGATAGGGCCCATATGAACCTGTCACTCTAGCAAAACTACTTCTAAAAACAGTTGTACTGGATACTTTTATATTCTTAACGGGTATTAATTTGATCTAGGATGGATCATTGGTTCCTAATTATAAGAGCTGACAAAAATGTGCTTGCAAAACAACTAATTAATATATTACATTCACTTGTTTGGATACAAGAACAAATGAAAGATAAACAGTAAAAGAATGATTTTAAATTAAAATTATAAAATATTAATTGATTATCGAATCTCTAATTCTTTCCTATAAATATGAGAGTTTCATTCTCAATAAAACACAGAATTATATTTACTTATTTCTTTTATTCTTTTTTCTTTCTAGTATATAACACGTTATCAGCATGCTTCTCTTATAAGATAATAATTTTTATAAGAATAATTATTAATAACGTGTACCGAAATTAATTTGATGACATGTGAATATATATATATATATATATATATATATATACATATATATATATATATACACACACACACATATATATATATATATACACACACACACATATATATATACACACACACACACACACACACACACACACATATATATATATACATATATATATATATATACATATATATATATAACGTCAAAATATTGCATGCCCAATATATGTTTCGGTCCAACTTTTTATTTTGAAATACATACCCGCAGTTTATTGTACATATTTGTCCTAGTCCAACTATCCCAATTATATAGGCTGGGTTTCATTTTTCTCTTATCACAAATATATAGGTCTTGTTCTTAATTTAGAATATTTTATTTTATTTTTTTACCAATATACCCTTATTCAATTTTTTCTACTTAATATGCCAACTTCTTGAAATCATCCAAATACACACATTTTTCACTTCTTGGAAACATGAAACAACTTTCATTTCTTCTTTTTCAAATTATTTACTAATTCTAATAATAATTTACTAATACATTTTGAAAATTAAATCGGGGTAAATTAGAAAAGATTTTGACAAAAATTAATTTTCCAATGACATTAAAGAAGATTTCCTAATTCATGTGAAAAACGAAATACTTATTTTGTGCGTATCCACTAACTTTGTTTCCCTCTCCCAATTTGTCTTTTAAAAAGAAGATGTTGACACTTTCTTAAGGCCCCATTTGATTATCATTTTTTTAAAGAATGAGAATGAAAAAAAATTGTTGTTACAGGATCCAAACAAAAGATAAAAAGTCAAATATGGTGATTTGATGTGATGTATAATGATCATATTTTTTATTTTTTTAAGCCAAAGAATGAGAATTAAATAGGGGCTAAGAATAATGTTTACAACTCCCTCTCCCTCCCATCAATGGTTTGAATTTGATCCTCAATAATCATTTCTTGGGTTTCGTCATTTTCAGATTTTACTCATGTGGTTGTGACCTGCCCCAAAGATTGTTTTTAATGCACACAGCACCGATTTCTAAAACTGAAATAATTACTACCCACTTGTCTACATGCAATCATTCTTTTTTTATACAGTATGCCGTAATTTATGTGTATAGTTATTCTTTATTAATCATTTATTCACTATATGTCATATTCACTAATGATTACCTTAATTAGTTATGGAATTTTTTAATTCTTATTATGTGCATAGTTAATTTTCAACTCCTGTATTTTTTTACTAATTATTACGTTGTATTCACTGCCTGTGATATTTCATTGCATAATGATTTATTTTTTACTAATACATGTTTGATAAATAATTTTTTTAACTTCATTAAATAACTTTAGATGTTCTTTTATAAATTTTAAATTGATAACTTTTATGTTATTGTTCTTGAAGTAGTACAATATTATAATTAATATTTCAAAAAAAATATTATTTGCTCCTAAAAAAAGCATGTATTATAATTTTTAATATTTCATAAGAATATTGATATGTTGCTTCTGAAAAAGCACAACTCTGTAAATATAAAATTTATTAAAAAAATATAGTTTATAAAAGTTAAGGGTGCATTTGGTTTAATATTTTCAGTTTTTAGCTTTGCAAAACATTAAAAACTTATTTGTTAAGGTATTTCTTCAAATACATTTCCAAACAAAGAATAAATTTATAACATAAAATTTAAAACATATTTTTGATGTTTTGAGTGCTTTAAGTGAAAATTTTGAAAACACTCAAAACATGAACAAATAAGCATTTAAATAAAATTGTTAATATAAAAGTAGAAAATTTTATCAAATGAAATTTAAAAAAAAAAAAGTGCAAGAAATAAAATTGATAAATTTTGAAAGACAAAAAATAAAAATTTTGAAAAAATAAAATCTGAAATTCTGAAAAATAACTCTTAATAATTATTTACATAAAAATTCTAAAAGTATTTAACTGAAAAATAGATAAAAATATTTGTAATCCATGTTATTAATTTTTATTTTTGTTTCCTATATTTTGAACTCAGTTTATCATTTATTTTTATTTTACCTTTATAACAGAAAAAAATATTGTAGGATTATATATATATATATATATATTAGCATAGAATAATCAAATTTCATGAAATAAAATGTCGTAAAATAATTTTTTAGCAAATCGAATGTGTTTTCGACTTTTAAAATTTGAGAATTGGTTTTCAAAATGACAAACTAAATGCGTTTTTAACAATCTTAAAGCTGACTCTGAAAATAGAAAATTGAAAATGAGCTCCAAACTTGAAACTTAAAATTGAAATATAAACCAAATAGGTTCTATTGTTTTCTAAATAATTGTTTGATGTTGCTCCCGATATAACACAACATTATATTCATATTTTAGAAAAATATTACTCGCTCTTAAAGATCATGAATTATAATTTTCAATATTTCAAAAAAATATTGATATATTTATATAATTTTGAGTTAGTATTTATCCATGAAGAAAAATATATAACTCATGTTATGTTGACATTGACTACTTGATTAACTATTATGTGATTATACAATATTTAATCACACTCTTCAAAATTAATTGTTTTTTTTTTGTTTTATTGTGTAGTTAATCAAATAGCAAACATCAGAAAACATAAGTTTATTGCTCTTGACATATCTGTCAAGAATTATTTGTCATCGGTCCTCGATGTTGATTTCACTTTATTTCAAAAGGTTTGAGATAGACAATAAAAAAGAAAAAAAAAAGCAAAGAATCCTTAGGGGGTCGTGTAAAAGCACTTATCTTCCTTCGTTACCATCTTCTTGATAAATTGAAAATAAAAAATAACTCACTGTGAAAGATACACAAGTTATTTAGAAAAAATTGTTTGAAAGATTCAGTCACTAGAAGATTATGGTCCTCCCAAAAGCCTATTATGAATAAATGCATCTTCATTTGCAAAACTTTAAAATTGTTAGTCCCAAAATATGTTTAAAATTGACTTTGTATGGAAAAATAATCGCTGATGAAAATATGTTTAAGAAAATATTTTCCACATTTTCATGTCTCGAATGTGTTCCGACAGCGGCAATATCGTGAGCGTGTTTCAAAAAGTACTCGAAACTCGTAATTTGCTTGCTATAGCAGAAAAAATAATGAACTGCTGATGGAAAAATTATGGGTTACATCCAATTACTATTGCCTGAAACAAATGCAATATCAAGATAAGGATGTAAATGTGGACACCAACATGAGAGAAACCATGGATGAAATGATCAACAACAAAGCAATAGTTTCAAAAGATACAAAGCTACGAAAATAGCATATTCAAAAAAGAGCACGGAGAAAGTTATTTTAAATGTAGAGTGAAAGGGCAGTATGCACGTACCTGTCTTCTGGCAAAATATCTTGTTGATCTCTACAAAAAATTAATCAAAGAAAAAGAAAAAGTGGAGAAATTTTTTATTAATTATGATGTCCTAATTGTTGTGACTCTCTTGGACTCTCTAATTTTTTTTTACTGACCCAAATGACAATATTGATCACTGGGCCTAACTGATATATGACTCACTTGGACATCTCGAATGTGACTCACTCGGACGTCCTTGATTTTTTTGCTGACCTAAATGGCAATATTGATCGCTTGATTGGAGGCAGTGTATTCGATAATATTGATTAATTTATTTTTTAGTATCTCAATAGTTTATTTTGATTTAGAAGTTATTCTAAATATGTTTTTATTATTTTCCATAAAGTTTGATACATCACAATTTTAAAATATTTCTAATTGATTAAAGTGTTGCTCAACTTCTTTTGATTATAAAATTAGTTTTTGAAAATATTTATCTCGTCATAAATTTAAAATGAATTGTCGAGATACTTGTTTAGTCGATAGTGCAACTATGCATACTTTTTTCAAGACAAAAGTATTTTTTTTGGACTCAACATTAGTAGAAAATAATGTTAATACGATATCAAGTGTGTCAAATATCATTAAAAGCTCCAAAAGAACTTGAATTATTTCATCAAATAATAAAAAATTATATATTGACGATGCATTTTATTGAACAAATCTATAAGAAATATATTTAGTTTTAAAAATATTCACTATAATGGATATTATTACATTGAGACGAATCAAACATTATCATGCACCTGAAGTTTGTTGACCCAAAAAGTTTTATACTTTGACATTACTTGTTAGATCATTATTGAATCAACTATGATACGAAACGATGATTTGAATAAATAATAACTTCAATTTTCTATTTTGAAACTTGTTACCTTTATTGAGTTGATCCCCAATTACCACAAGCTAGAGTTGAGACTAAATCCCTATATTTCTGAAAATTAATTATGGTGATATATGGTGCTCCGTCGCCCTCTACGTTGAGTCATTGACCCTCTAGATATTATTTATTTCTAATAGATTTGTAACATCAACTAGATGATTGCATTGTGTTCACAATCTAAAATTTGCAAAATTATTGCTTAAAAGTTAAATGATGAGAACATGGTGCTTCCCAATTCTGTCTAGGAAATCCAATTAGCATCATGCCAAGTTTAAAGTTTTTATACTTATATTTGCCTTATGGTTAGAACCCAATACTTTCCATCTAATGATTTTTGAAAGAGCAATATATGTATAATTGCTCAACCGCGGTGTACTGAGGTGGATATTAAAGAATGCTGAGAATATAAGTTTAGTTTCAACCCTTATAAAATATCTTAAACCTTAACGAGTGACAATTTATTACGCGGTTTGTTAAGTGTTAATTTTTATTGAACTGTTTTTCATCATTAGGGAGAGAAATTAAGAAACTAGAAATAATGTACAATGCATCATTATGTTATCTGAATCCTTACAAAAGGCAATTCAAATCTAAAGTTCGAAAATTAATTCACTTAGGTGCATTTAATGACTGAAAAAATTAACAATATCTCACATACAACTTTAAATGCTTCAACTCGAACGGACTCTTGGAAAGATAATTCATTAACATTATATATTATAATATTAATCAAACTGCTGATGCGTGATGACATTCAACTCGAAGCCAAATTATCTAAAAGGAAAAATGGAGCAAATAAGCTCCAAATAAAGACGATGATCCCAAATAGGAGGCAAATATTCTTAGAGAGTATATAGACATAACTAATTATAGAATTTCAGAAGAGATTTAAGTATTTGAAATATTGAAAGTAAAGATATCCCAATATATTATGCCATTATTAGAAAAGAAATTGAATCGACAAAAAAATTCTCTGCAGCACATTTGCACATGATGTATCGCTTCATGTTATGAATAGCAAGGAATCAGAATAAATTTGTTTAAGTGAAGTAATGATTGGCCATTAAAAGAACACAATCTTAGTAAATTTGAATTTACTAGAGAAACTTGAAGTTTCTGAATCCGAAGCCTGAAAAGTTGATAAAATCTTATATAAAGATGATAATATTTGAAAGCTATGACAAGATAGTATGAAACATATTCCAACAAGAAATAGTCCAACAATTTTGTGTAAAACTAATGCAGCTTGCATTGCATAATTCAAATGGCGCTATATCAAATGGGACATTGAAAAAATTGGTTCACAAGATTGGGATGCATTGACTTAAAGATTTCCAATCATCAACATTAGGCAGAATATTTGTACTCTTTTTCCTTCGTTTAGGATTTATCCCACTTGATTTTCTTAGCAAAATTTTAATGAGGCAACATTTATTTTTAATATTTCAAAATAACTGAACCATTTTCCTTCGTTTAATAAAGGTTTAAAACGAGACAAATATTTTGTAATGTATCAAAGGGGTGGGTGTTGCAAATAATATAATTATTAGTTAATGATAATTTTACCCTTACAGCTATAATTTTTATTATCATTGTATCTCTAATTCTTGCCTATAAATATGAGACTTTGTTTTTTAATAAAACACACAGTTCTATTTAATTATCTCTTTTGTTTTCTTTTTTTTTTCCTCTTGTTTATAACTTTATTTTACTTTTAATATTTTCTTCAAAACTGGCTATTCATTGTGTGACAAGTGGCATAATGTCAAACTTAATGTCAAAAAAGTATACATGTAGCAAGATTGTAATTAATAACTATTTAAAGTTATTTGGTGCATTATTCTTTACTTACCTTTTCCAAGTGCAAGATTAAGAAAATGATCATTAGCCAGACATGCTTAATGGATGTCTGATTAATGTACAGGCTATGTGAGACCCCAAAAGAGTTCTTTCTTCGTAATTTCGTAGTTGATAAATTTATCTCTACTTGGATGGTAGTATAACTTGTCGTAGACATTTAATTTAGAGGTCGTATATCAAGATTTGTTCATCATCCCAGCTTTGTAGAAATTGATTTATCATGATTATTGAGTTACAAATATGAATATAAATTTACTCGTTTACACTTTTCTTCAACCTATGCTAGGCTTGTGTCTGAGCTAACATGGCTGTGAATCCACCACCAGAACCCTTTGTTGGAGAACCATTCAAGTCCATTTGACTTTAATTACATGTGATATGCAAGAATCATGGTCCAACAATGCATGACAAACTGGACAAAATTCAAAATGTATAGCGTCATGTTGATTCTACTTAATTTACATGTACATTGAAGATAATTTATGTTAAGGTGTCACTCCATCAAAGCTGAAGATATATTTAGGTTAAAATGCTAAATAAGGTTGAGCCAGATGAAGAAAAAGAATTCATGACAAAAGTAAATGCAAATTGATGGGTTTAACACAAGAATTTAGTCACTCTACCTCATTATTGTGATGAGGCAGAGAACTGGCTTTTGGGATATCTAGACCTAGTTGGAACCAAAGGGTGTAAATCGTATACGATATTGCAAGAGGTCTCACATATTTGTTTGAAGAATGTAGCACGTAGATAATCCACTGTGACGTGAAGCCTTAAAACATACTTCTGGATGAGTTTTTAACGCCTAAGACTTCTGACTTTGGATTGGCAAAACTTTTGTTGGCTGAGCAAAGTCAAACCGCACGAACATACATAGAGGGATAGTAGGTTACTTTGCATCCCCTTTAATTCAAACTCTTTAATTATTCATACTCATTTTCAACCATGTATTTACATAATAAAATATTTTTGCACGTAAATCCAAAACTTTTCTTTACTTTTTAACTACGCATCTCTAAAAAATTACAGTTCAAAATTACATTTTTTTTTTCATTATGCATTCTTTAAAAAATTACAATTCAAAATTCTATTTTTTTTTCAAAATAATTTCCATCAAGCTGGGCTTAATAATCTATCTCGAGTAAAATTAAACATATGATCCTACTATATCTATAAAGGATAAGAATATATGAAGATGCATTAAATCATAATAACATTTATAAGATCATGTAAAGCATAGCAATAAATTTCTATACATATCAGACTTTACAATAATTGTTACAATGTGATATTATTTATATTACTTCTCTTGGAAGAAACAAACATACGAATATTATCAATTAATGGCCAAATAATTTAAAAACATTAAGATCCTAACAATTATTGCAATCAAACAAATATTTAATCTTTCTCCTGTTATTTAGCTCAAGCCCCTTCTTGTCAACATCAAGGGTCATTAACCTTTCTATTCCTTTTAATTTGATCATCATCATCTGTACTCAATTCGTCTTAAGTTTTGAGAGTTTGAAATTGAGTCTTCAAAATTGTCAAATATTGAATATAGTTCCTAAAACTTGTGAATCTCCTATGATTTCTTTCTTAATAAGTCATAATGATCAAGAACAATTCGATTTTGTTGTCAATTACATCATATCATTATTAATTGGGCTCAAAATCATTTTTCTTTGTCAAGTGTTCTAAATGGAAGTATTTTATTTGAATTGAATTTTTATATTTTTTTTATCAATAGATGTAAATTTGTATTGATCAAAACTTATATATAAATACATTGGGCATATCTAGGTTTACAAGATCAAAAGATATACAAACAAAAAAGATCTAATGACCCAACGCTAAAGACTCAAAGTGAATCAAAATATTAAGATAAAATGAGAAAATAATTTTGTAGACATGCATTTTGTCTCACGATGCTATTGAGTGTGGCCTAAGATCTTCAAAAATTAGCTAATTTCTTACA